AGCTTTTGATCTATTCAATTCTACTTTGAAACTTCCACCTAAAGAAACAATGCAATATTTTGAAAAAAAAATTTTAAATGATTATTATATTGACTGTTACATCTGCAAAATAGAAACAATCTAAATGCTTAAGAATGGAAGCATGTTTAAGTAAACGATGTTAGTTTTATGTAACAGACAATTATACAGTCAATAAAACACATTAAAATGAATAAAAAACTATACTTAGATAAGCATTGAAAAATTCATATTGGGAGGAACCAATACAATGTCAAAAGTGGACAGGTGATTATATTCTTTAAATTTTCTGAATCATCTTCAAAATAGGCTTATATTACTCTTCTAATTGGAAAAAGGTATATGAAGTCAGATGTTTCATAGCCTCAAGTTTATGGTTCAAGTTCAAGGACTGACAAGAATTAACGTACTTGCAGAATCAGCAAGTAAACAGAGCAGAGAATGCATATAAGCTGATACACAAAACGTGGCGCCCCAGTGCTGATGGCGTTTCCTACTGGAAGTGCCAGAGTTCAGTGATCTCAGGGCCTTTTTTGAAGTGAGGAGCTAAGACTACAGGAAGCCATTTAGGTTGCTGTTGAAAGAGCAGATAATCAGCAAGCAAACTCAGACCTAATCACCTTCAAGTAATTGATATTTTTTGGTGAGGTCACAGTATGGTAATCAGTCTATTTCACGGTTTACTTCTTACTGTGCCATCACGCCTTGAAACTAAATGTGTCAGTAAATCAAGCCTAGCCAAAAGACAAATGTACTTAGTCGCTCAATCTGTCCGACTCTTTGCAACTCTTTGGGCTGTAGCCTGCCAGACTCCTAGTCCATGGGATTTTTCAGGGATTTTTTTCATTTCCTTCTCCAGGGGATCTTCCTGTCCAAAGCATGGAACCCACATCCCCAGTGTCTCGTGCATTGCAGGCAAATTCTTTACCCACTGCGCCATTGGTTGTTGTTCATTCAGTCGTGTCCAATTCTTTGTGACCCCAGGGATGGCAGCACACCAGGCTTCCCTGTCCTTCACCATCTCCCCAAGCTTGCTCAAACTCATGTCTATTGAGTCAGTGATGCCATCCAACCATCTCATCCTCTGTCGTCCCCTTCTCCTCCTGCCTTCAATCTTTCCCAGCATCAGTGTCTTTTCTGATAAGTCAGTTCTTCGCATCATGTGGCCAAAGTATTGGAGCTTCTGCTTCAGCATCAGTCTTTCCAATGAATATTCAGGGCAGATTTCATTTAGGATTGACTGCTTTTATCTCCTTGCTGCCCAAGGGACTCTCAAGAGTCTTCTTCAACACCACTGTTTAAAAGCATCAATTCTTCAGGGCTCAGCCTTCTTTATGGTCCAACTCTCACATCCGTACATGACTACTAGAAAAACCATAGCTTTGACTATACAGATCTTTGTCAGCCAAGTAATGTGTTTGCTTTTTAATATCCTGTCTAGGTTAGTCATAGCTTTTCTTCGAAGGAGCAGCATCTTTTAATTTCATGGCTACAGTCACCATCCACAGTGATTTTGGAGCCTAAGAAAATAAAGTCTGTCACTTTTTTCATTATTTCCTCATCTATTTGCCATGAAGTGATGGGCCCAGATGCCATGATCTTAGTTTTTTGAAAGCTGAGTTTTAAGCCAACTTTTTCACTCTCTTCTTTCACTTTCATCAAGAGGCATTCTAGTTTCTCTTCACTTTCTGTCATTAGGGTGGTGTCATCTGTATATCTGAGATTATTGATATTTCTCCTGGCAATCTTGATTCCAGCTTGTGCTTCCTCCAGCCTGGCACTTTGCATGATATTACTCTGCATATAAGGTAAATAAACAGGGTGACAATACACAGTGTTGACGTACTCCTTTCCCAATTTTGAACCAGTCCATTGTTCTATGTCCAGTTCTAACTGTTGCTTCTTGACCTGCATACAGATTTCTCAGGAGGCAGCTAAGGTAATCCGGTATTCCCATCTCTAAGAATTTCCCAGTTTGTTGTGATCCACACAGTTAAAGGCTTTTGTGTAGTCCAGGAGGCAGAAGTAATGCTTTTTCTGGAATTCTCTTGCTTTTTCTATGATTCAACAGATGTTGGCAACTTGATGTCTGATTTCTCTGCTTTTTCTGAATTCAGCTTGTACATTTGGAAGTTCTCAGCTCATGTACTGTTGAAGCCTAGCTTGAAGGAGTTTGAGCATTACCTTTTTAGCATGTGAGATGAGTGCAATGGAGCCATCAGAGAAGCCCCTAAAGGCAAATAGGTCTTTCAAATTATTTGGAAAATAGTTGCTATAAACACAGAAGAAAGAAAGGGCGTTGAAAAAATTTTCAAAATGACTTGCATAACATAAATTTTATTAGAGCTCGCCAGTATATTTTGGTAAGTACTTATTTTTTAACCTTTATCAACCATAGAGTAGTCTTCACATGTGGTTGATATTTATTATATAAACATCCATGTTATCACACTCAGGTCAAAATCAGGACACTTCCAGAATCCTGAGTCCCTTCATATGGTATTCAGCCCCAATTCTGCTTTTCTGCTTTCCCTGAGAGGTGACCACCATCATGAGTTTTACATGAGTCATTTCCTTGCTGTTGTAAAATAGAAATGTCACTTACATACATGTCTCTAAATAAGATAGATTCGTTTTAATGCCTCTGATTTTTCTCACTACATTATATTTGTGATATTCATGCATTTGATATGTCTAACAATAGTTCATTTATACATTTCATTGTATAAATATAACACAATTTACCTGTCTATTCTGCTGTTAATGTATGCTTGGGTCATTTTTTTTTTAAACTGATAAATAATGTTACTAGGAACATTTCTCTGTGTCTGTGTATTTCCTTTGGGAGCATACTAGGAAGTAGAACTGCTTCATCATTGTACACAAATGTCTTCAAGTTTACTAGATAATAAAAAATTCTTTCCAAGTTATCTTGCCAATTTCTGTAACTGCCAGCAGCATATTTATTTAAAATTTCACTAGTGATTTATTCAATACAATTTCACAAGTTTTCCATTAAAACTATTGTACCTCTATTAATAGACTTATTTCTAGAGGCTTGAAAATTTCCTTTCAAGATCTCTTTAAGTTTCTAGTTTTCTGAATATTTGTTGATGATACATAAAACCATGAAATAATTACTTATACTAATACAAAATACCCAAATTATTCTTGTCTATTGATTTGTATCCACTAATCTTGCTAGACTTTTATTTATTCTAATGGGTTGCTTGTGGATTCTTTGGATTTCTATGTTTACAATCCTGATAAATGCAAATAAGAGCAGCTTTCATCCTTATAAAATTGACATCTTACTTTGTTTTTCTGATTGGGACCTTCAGTACAATACAAAGGAGCAGAGTCATCGTGGACTCCTGCCGTCTTTTACTCTTCGTTTTTACATCTCGCCCCTTTACACTGAGAGTCTTTCCTTCTGTATTTCTACCGTTTTCCATTTCTTTCAGTGAATGCCTGTTGGTGGAAAACTTCCTCAGATTTTGTTTAAGTAAGAAATGGCCTTATTTTCACTTTTTACCTGATAGACATTCTTGCCGAACGCAGTGTCCCAGCTTGCCAGGAGTTGTTTTCTAGTACATTGAAGACCATTTAAACTGTCTTCTGATTTTCACTTTTGATTTAGAGTGGTCAAAAAAGGGGCTTGCCAGGAGGTGATAATGGTAAAGAATCTGCTTGCCAAGTGGTAAAAAAAATCTGCCCGCAAATGCACGAAGCACAAGAGACATGGGTTTGACTCCTGGGTTGGGGAAATCCTCTGGCATAGAAAATGCAACCCACTGCGGTATTCTTGCCTGGGAAGTCCCGTGGACAGAGGAGCCTACAGTCCATGGGGTCGCAAAGAGTCAGACATGACTGAACACACACAGAGATGGAGCTTGTAATAAAACGTAGTCGTCTAAGTTTTTTAGAAAGGTAGGGAGCCAGGTCTCTGATGCCAGCTTTTCCAGGTACTCTGCCTCATTCTTCGCTGCTCTAAGATTTATGCCACAGCTGAGAAGTGTGAATTATAGTTTTAAAATCCCAAGTTCTCCAACCATTACATAATAGTGGACTCAGATCCAATCAGAGCAACACTGTGTTAATGAAACAAGATTTGTTCTGACTATAAGGTTAAAAAAAAGAAGAAGAGGAAAGAAAAAGAAAAAAGCAGCTGACAGTGATTTAAAGCATAAGTCACTTATTTTTTCCTTAGGGAGAAATTCAGAGATTTGGAATTCAGTTACATAACTTTTTTTTGTGTGTGTACACAGCTATTACACACAAGAAGACATGTCTGCTCTTGAACTAGGATCTTTGTAAGTTTATTAATATTTTGGAAAATTCATGCCACTAGCTACTGTCTCCCCACCCAAAGTTGGCTTATATGAAATGCATGAATGAAAAAGATCTTAAGTCATTTTTTCCCCTAGGCTCTACTGCATGCCACTTTGCCAAAGGGTCAGACTGCAGGAGCCCTCAGATTGCTCTGAAACCCCACCTCACTTTTGCACGCCCTGTTGTGTACCCTTGTCCTTGTGAAAAGTGGAAAAGTGCCAACGAAGGTCTTTCTTTTCTGGTTCCTGCTCCTCTCAAAGATCAGGATTCATCAGAAACGGTGACGAATTCATTCCATAGCCTAAAGCCAGGTACAGGATGCTAAGAAGCAGATGAGATTCACTGAATAATCCTTGATTTATGTACTTAAGAGCTACTGAAGTGTACTTATTTCCTATTTTTATCTTTAATTCTAGCAAAAGCTATTCTAATGTTTTCTTTCCCCCTCCCTGTCTATCTCAAGCGAGCTGCTGACTTCAGCACAAAAGATTTCACTCATCATTCACCTGCAATTATCATGATCCAGTAATCTGAACATTGTCTTATTTTTGGACAGCTTTTGAAATTAGTCATCACCATAAGCCTTCTGTTTAGCCACAGAATTCTGCACTATCCACAATCAAGGAGTGGCTTTGTGGGCTTTTTTTAGAAGCAAAAACTGAATTCCTCACCTGTGAGAAATCAAGTTTCAGTAACTTTGAATAATCTTTGTGAAATAAGGAAGGCAAGTGTTTATATCTTCTCAGAATCCTTAGAGTCCTAACGTCGAGATAATTTTCTGCAGGTTGTTTTGGGAAGGGAGCAAATTTTTTCTACTTTTTTCTCAACTAACATACATTGTGTACTTTGGGGTTGAAATTGGAAAATTTCCCAGGAAACGGATGACTATTACTTTGCATGATCCAGATTGAGTAAATACGCAATTATTAATTTAGCATGAATTCAGTATTTCCTAACTTCTAATCCACAGAGTGAAAACAGATATCTTTGGAGCTCCACGGGAGATACCAGCCCTTTCAGAATGGATGGCAAACAGCAACAGCAGCATGCTGTGGATGTTGAACAACACCCGACTGAGTTGGTGAGTAGTGTACATACCTTTTTTTCCCCTAACACATTTCCTTTATTGTCTTCTTAGTTATTTATAACAAGGGAAATATCAGCCAAGATTCACTACCAACTGGAAAATAACTGTTACAAACATTTTATCAAAGAAGATACACAGCTGGCAAATGAACACATTAAAAATGTTCAACGTGATGAACCATTTAGGGATATGCAATCAGACCATAGTTAGATACCCCTGCACAGGTAAGATTGAATGTACTGACCATATCAACCAAGTACAGGGAACTGGAATGTTCCCATACTCTTGATGGGAATGTAAAAATCATTCACTTTGGAATATATGAAAGCATATATTCATATAAAGAATTATATCTTCTCTCATATCTAACATTCTTGCTTTCTATGTTTAATATTTAACCCTCCCCCAAACTGAACTTGCATTTTTTTCCTAATGTTTACTATTAGGGGATGAATGGAATCTGGATGTTACTAATAGGAGTCGCAAGTATTGGGGGAGTTACATAGTACCAATTGAAGTAACCAGTTGTGCTATACCATCATTTGATAATTGTGCAATATACTTTTTGCCTAAACTTTATATTTATATCAGAAATTTATAATAATGTATGAGTGGACAAGATTTTAGCAGATGATTTGAAGTGTTATATTGACAGCAGATATTAACAATATTGTTTATATTCATACATATTTAAATCCAATGAAAATATTTATTCTCATTGGATTACTTGTTTCTAAAGTAGGAATTTATGGAAAATGTCTCATGGTGGGGGGACTTATGCTTAAACTGTTACTCTAGGCAAATAAACATCATATTTCTTAGAACATATTAAGGGTCCCTTTCATCATTCGCACAAATTCTTTCATCTTATAAATAACTAGTGACAGAAATTGAACTCAGGTTGCTCACATTTATAATCATTTCCTTACAAGATGCTAGTTTTCAAAAAGCTTGAGTACTAGCTTTCTAACAAGGAGAAATGGATTTTATGATTAACTTGATGTTGCAGAACCAAGAGAAAAGTCAGACAAGATAAACATGAAGATATGACTAAGTATAAAAATTGTTTTGCAACTTGAAGGTTGTATTTGTGTTCAGTTTGGGAATCCAATATCTAGACTACCATAGACCTAATTTATAGGCTGCCTCTTACTCCATGGAAGCTGCAAAATTCCATTGCTTTAATATCATATATACATCATTTTATTTCCTTCTCCTTTCCCCACATGTCAAAAATATTTATGCAATTTATTCCATTAAGTCAAATAACTAGTTAATTATGCAAAATACCCAGTAAACCAACTTCTGAGACCATAAAAAGGAATCATTTGGCTTTCCTATTTTTTAGTAATCTGACTGGCAACCTATGACTAACCTCTTATATTCCCTGAAACAAGGGGTGGAATATTTTCTTTTAATTCTTTATGAGTTTGTTTTCTTACTTTAGAACATTTGGAAAAAACAGAAAATTACAAAAAAAAATTTAAAAATCACCCATGACCCTTCCCAGAGGAAAAAAAACCTGCTAATATTTTGCTTCTTGCCCCCCATCCAATTTATTTTTATTCTTTTGATTGCTTTATTTTATCATATGAAATTTTTGTCAATTTATATTCAGAGAACTGAGAGCTTATACTACAAAAATCTTTTCTTAGATGTTATTAAAGTTGTCTTTTTGCTTTTCAGTAAAGTTTTGTGGTCTTCTCTATATAAATTCTATAGCATTTTATAGGCTTAGCAATTTTATTTTTTTGTTTGTTTTTAATTGTATTTATTTATTTATTTATATTTATTTATTTTTAATTGGTTCATGGTTGTTTTACAATATTGGTTTGATATCTGCATACATCAACATGAATTAGCCATAGGTGTACATATGTCCTATCCCTCTTGAATCTCCCTCCCACCTCCCACCCTTTCAACCCCTCTAGATTGAGGGAGCCCTGGTCTAGAGCCCTCGTTTGAGTTCCCTGAGTCAGCAAATTTCCATTGTAGACTTAGCCATTTAAAATGCATCCCTAAACCCTCTTACACTCTTGGTGGGAATGCAAACTAGTACAGCCACTATGGAGAACAGTGTGGAGATTCCTTAAAAAACTGGAAATAGAACTGCCATATGACCCAGCNTAGCCTCTAACTAATAAAAATTAATGGAAAAAAAAAATAAAATGCATCCCTACTACCCTAAATAGCAGTTGCTGTTACACAGACAGACCCACACATAAAACAGTGCTGCTTCACATACATTTTGTACTTTTATAAACAGTCACTTTGATGAGATCTTATTACTTTTTATAGAGTATTTGGCTAATTATTTGGGATTCTGTAGGGCAACATATCATCTGCAAATAATGTTAATTTCATCTTCACATTTCCGTTATTTATACACACTGATGAGAACTTCTAGAAGACCAGTACCTGATATTGGTGGCAGGAGACATTCTTCTCTTCTCCTGTCTCTAAAAGAATGTCTCTGAATGTTTCACTGTTAAATATTATGGTCCTTGCTTGGAGATAAACATTGCTCATCACATTTGGGAGTTATTCTTTTCTTCTAGTTCTTTGGGGTTGGTATCATTTGTTTGCTTTTACCACTTTTAAATGCTGAAATTTGTTAAATGAGCAGTGAGCATTGAGATGATTATTTTCCTTCTTTGATCATTTAATATGAAAAATGTACTTGTATAATTCACATCATGAAACCGTTTATTAGAGTTTCAGATTTTCCTAGAACTTGGTCAGTTCTTCCTGGAATACAGATTGGATTCAATAATTTTTTACATGTTTTATGAATTTATGTGCCTAGATCAAAGAAATTTTCTTCATCCTTAAAAATCAGGGTTGATGAATTGTTGATGTTAACATTCTTTCTCTGCAGTTACCCAGAAATCCCTATGGTTCAAACGAAGGAACACATTGTGGTTGTAGATTGCCTGTTGTGACCTTACAGCCGCAGTGGGTGAGATTTGGGGCCCGGGGGGCAGTGGGGCATCTTCACTCGTCCTTTGAGGTGATGCTAAGCCCAGGTAGACAGGCTCTGCTTGGTTAGCCCCTCCGAAGGGGTCTCCTCTCCTTCAACGCCTTGCCTGTCCTTTGATGGCTCTGTGCTTCTTGGGCATCCCCCCACCCCCATAACTCCACAAGCTCCGGGCAATGCGGGGGACCCGCTGGCCCAGTAATCTATCAGTACTGTAGTCTATTCCTATAAGATCCTGCTCCATACCAGAGCTGATCGTTTTTTCTACTTTGATGTCTTCCTAAGTTCAGTGAACTTTCTTTTGTTTATGTTTAAGAGATCAAAAATGTATGTAGTGAATTATTTTCTAGTTGCCAAATCTCAGAATGTCATTTGAAAATGGGAGATGACAGTGAGCCAAATACCTGTCACTTTCCATCACTCCAAGATAACCAGTCTCCATGTTCTGATGGGCCTTCGGTTTTTCTCTCCTGGATGGCTAATTAGATAATTTAATTTATACTGTAAGTATAGTAGCTGATGTGAGGTCATCACGTGATTTATTCCTGAGGCGACCTATTTGCATTTAAGGTGATCCCTTTATTACTTAAGTGTAAAGGGTTAACTAAGAGGGGACATTTTGACCTTATGCACTTACGGACAAGGTGTGTATATGTATATGTGTGTGTGTGCGTGTGAGAGAGAGAGACAGAGAGAGAGAGAGAGGAGAAATTTATTCATTTAAATTATAGCATTTGAAGTAATGAAAAAAATTACCCATATTCTAATGGAAATCGTTTACCTAAGTCACCACTGTGTTCTTGCTGAAACGTTTACTTTTCATAACCCTGTGCAGGCAACAGCAAAGCCATGGTCGCCCTGGAAAGTGTTTCTGCTGTGTCTCCTGGCCTGTCTCATTGCCGCAGCCCTTGTTGTTCTGCTCTTCTATTTTGTCCACTTGGGCAAGCCCGCGGCCGGCACCACCATCGTCATTCATGCCGACGGCAAGTCCAGTCACGTCACCTGCATTCCTGGTGCTGCCCCATCTCCGGGCCCATCCTCCCTGCCTGTATCCCAGAGCGCTCCGCCTCCTACCCTGGGGACCAACTACAGCTCCTCCACCCCGGGGCTCCCAGCTCCTACGGAGATGACTATGAGCTCAACGTTGGCCCACGAAGTTGAAATTGAAGATGAATGACATTTGGGGGGTGTCGTCAGCCCTCCTCAAGCCAGACCCACCCACTGATCCTGAACGAGGCATGTCCAAGGTATTCTCCCCTCCAGTCGAGAGGTTCCAAAGCATTTAGCTTTATGAGACTTGCCCTCTTGCTCATTCATTTGCTGTGTTCCATATGAGAATGATACCAGTGTTCTCAGTCAAGGACCCTCAAATCTTCAAATGATTGGAAAAGAAAAATTTCAACTGAGCGCAGTTGATTCATCCTGACTAGGGCCTAGAGTTTCTTTTCATCCTGTAAAATCCATCTTAATTTTATTAATGAGGATTTCAACTGCTGGAGAAGCTGTCGGCCTCCTGTATGTTGGCTCTCAAGCCAGTATTTACCATCCAGTTATTGATTATTTCCCAATCTCATACACTTGACTCTTCTCAGTATTTATATTCCAGTAGGGAAATAAGGAAGTGTTCAATTAATGTGGTTAACGAACATAAATTATTAGGGAACTATTCATCATTACAGAAGTTTTCCTACTATTGGGGGGAAAGGAGGGCTGATCAATGAGGTTAGAAATGATAAAGATAGGTTTCAGAGAAGGGCTGGAAGTTAAACAAAGGTGGAAGTTTAAGGGGAGATCATTAAAACAGAAAATGAGAGGGCTAAGGGGATTTGATAGATTTAAAATCTAAAACATGCTTCGAAACACTTCAACTGTAACAGATGGTGTATTTTCTCTATACTTTTTTCTGATAGTGTCAATATTATTCTCTGTACTTGATATTTTGCTTAAAGTATTATAACCTGCTGCTTATAAAATTTGAACTTTTATATTGTCTTATACTTTGTAACTTTGAGGGCACATGGTTTATAATTTGGTGAGAAACACAAGACCCTTGTTCAATGTTACTTGTATTTTGAATGTTTAACACTCACTAGAAACATAAACACTTTATTCTGGAGACTTTGGGGTTGAAATCAACCTGCCCATTCCATCCTCAACCTCCAAACTCTACAAAAGAGGAAGACTGGTCGGAGAAGGCAGCTCCTGTTCAAAGACTCAGACCCTACGGGTGGCAGTGGACCCAGGATGTCTTTGGCACAGCATCGGAGGTTCTAAATAGGTTCCAAAAGCATTAAAAGATTTTATATTATAGGCCATTCTAGGTTCATTTGCTGTAGCCAATAATAGGACATGTAAATTACACAAACCTTGGGGCTTTATTGAGTAATTAGGCTCTGCCCAAGAAAAATTAGAAATGTGGTCATTCTCTAGGTAACTGTTATTTTAGGGAAGCTAGTATTATTTCTCAGACACAGGGAAATGTATAAATTTGAGTCTTTGAAAAGTTTTTCAGACAGTTTACCAACATTATTTGATAATAGAATTTAAGATGATAAAAGGCATTATATAAATTTTAGAAATTTCACAAAGCTCTAGAGGAGATTAATGGGCAAAAAGGAGAAGGTGTGCATGCATTTCTCCCTTGTAGAGTTTTTTTTTTTTTTTAATTAGAGGACAATTGCTTTACAATGTTGTGGTGGTTTCTGCCACACGACAAGGTGAATCAGCCATGAGTATTTATATATATGTGTGTTTACTTAGGTGCTTAGTCACGTCTGATTCTTTGCGAGCCCATGCACTGTAGCCCACCAGGCTCCAGGCAAGAATACTGGAGTGGGTCGTCCTGCCCTTCTCCAGAGGATCTTCCTGACCCAGGGACTGAACCTGGGTCTCCTGCATTGCAAGCAGGTTCTTCACCATCTGAGCGACAGGGGAGGTCCTATTTATACTGATCCCGTCCCTCTTTAGCCTCCGTCCCACCCACTCCTCCAAGCGTTCACAGAGCAGCGAGCTGAGAGCCCCATGGCACACAGCAGCTGCCCACTAGCTCTCCGCTTTACACTGCTGGTGTATCTATGTCACCGCTACTCTCTGCATTCACCCCACCCTCCCCTTCTTCCACCGTGTCCACAAGTCCATCCCCTATGTCTGCATCTCTATTCCTGCCCTGTAAATAGCTTCATCAGTACCATTTTTCCAGATTCCATATATATGTGTTAATGTATGGTATTTGTTTTTCTCTTTCTGGCTTAACTTCAGTCTGTATAACAGGCTCTTGGTTCATCCACCTCAGTTTAACTGACTCACATTCATTCCTTTTAGTGGCTGCTAGTAGAGTTTTAAATCAATTCATTTCTATTGTGTTTTTGATTTATATGCTTGTGAAGAAGAAAGATTAAATTCCCTAGTTTCAAATGTACTTCCTTATATGATTTAAATTTTGCTTTGCAATATAAAAGAAAAAAAACCTTTTAATACAAAGATCTTAAAATGTACCATTAATAAAAAATTTAAAAGAAAATTTCGTATCCTAGAAGTCATTTGAAATAGCTAGATGTGACTTAAAAAAAAAGCTGTTCTTTTCTTCCTTTGCTGTTTAAGATTATATAGGGTGCACTATGGTAAAACGGGGAGGATAACTTCATTGTGTTTAAGGAATATGCTCCTAGCAATGAATTTCCTATGTTAAATATTGGAGGATATTGTAATAAGGGTTATCTGAGATCATCACATTTCTGTGCTTTATAAAACGGGGTTGTGAATGAGCTCTCAGACTCATGTATTGCTTTAGACTTCTACAGTTTAATAAAATCTCTTTTTGAATTAATTTTTATTGGGGGATAGCTGCTTTGCAATGTTGTGTTAGTTTCTGCTGCCCAGCAAAGTGAGTCAGTTGCACACACATCCCCTCCTTCTTGGATTTCCTCCCCATTTATGTTACCAGGGAGCGCCGAGGAGAGTCAGCGATCAGTACCCAACTGTCGTGTCCAACTCTTTGCAACTCCATGGACTGCAGCCTGCCAGGTGGGTTGCCAGTTCCATCTCTAGGGGATCTTTCCGGCTCAAGGATCAAATCCACGTGTCCTGCATCTCCTTCATTGGCAGGAGGATTTTTTACCACTGAGCCACCAGGAAAGCCCTGAGTGGGGTTTCCTGTGTGAAACAGCAGATTTTCATTAGTTATCTGTTTTATGCCTAGCAGTGAATATCTGTCAATCCCAATCTCTCAGTTTATTCCCTGCTTTCCCCTTGTTAACAGAAAATTTGTTCTCTAATCTCTGTCTCTCTGTCTGTTTTGCCAGTAAGTTCCTCTGTACCACTTTTCAGGATTCCACCTATAAGCCATATTAGTAAAATCTTAAAGTATTAAGCAGCATTGTGGAAAATGTCTTCACCATTTAAGACACATTACTCAGATCAAAATTTTTCAAAGTACTATGAAAATACTGAAGTGTGCTTATTCAATAAGAATGTAATCATCCATTATAATGACTTATTCAGTAAGTATTAAAACCATATATTTCTAGTATTTATTATTTCAAAAATTTATTCACTGTATTGAATGACAATAATATATTTTAAAATAGTCAGGAAATTCTCTACTTAAAACATCTTCTACTAGAAATTTTCAGGTCCATTATTTATTCTTAAACGCGAAGTAATCCTTGTGGGATTAAAATGTTAAGTTTTCAAATGCACTTTACCAAATAAAAGTGCGATTAAACTTCCTTGGATGCTTTACTAAGAAAATGTTCTATTGGGCATTTTGTTTCCAAAATAAGTCCATTTACTTGTACTGAAAATCCACTTTAATAGGTAAAATCAACTTTACCCCATAATGATGTTCATAATTATTTTAGGAAAAGCTTTCAGAAGTTACACTGTGTAAGTCATTCACTTTGATATTGTGCAATTTCAAAAGCTTTTGAACTTCAGAACCACATCTACTTCGAAACAAATTATTATTTGTGAACTTTAATTTGCTTAGTCTTTAAGTTCTTTAATAATCTCCTAAGCATCTCATAATTGCCATTAGAGTGACAGACATCTAATACCGGTGTTATGATCAACTCAAACATGTTTCTACTTTGTCATATCTTTTGCTAACTTTTACTGTGGCATTCAGAGGGCCTTTTCCAAGTTCTGTAGGAATCTCTCTTTGTCATCCAAGGTGGTCCTTACCTTCAATGACAATTTCATCAGACCTGGTTCATTTCTAAGAGGGAAGTCCTCAGTTCAAAAGGATTCCTTTTGCTAGGAAAGGAAGAGCAGAGTGATTAACCAGTATCCCTAGCCTTTGGGCACTGTACAAAGTTCCCACTTCAATGTCATCCGACCTAGACGGGCAAAACTAAGAAATGAAGAAATAACCAGTAATAAGAAAGAAAAGCAGGGGCCATGCAGCAAGAACCCTTGTGGTTCCCAGAGACTTGATGGAACTGGAAGAATCTATGGTAAGTGAAATAAGCCAGACAGAGGGAATTATTACATGATCTCACTTATTGAGGAATATATAAAGAGCTGAAATCATAGAGTAGAAATGTGGGTACCAGGGGCGGCGGAGTAGGAGGGAGTTGGGAAAATAGAGAGAAGCTGGTCAAAGAGTACAAACTTCTAGTTTGAAGATGATAAATTCTGGGGCTCTAATGTAGAGCTTAGTGATTATGGTTAGTATTACTGTATTATATACTTGGAATTTACTGAGAGACATCTTAAGTGGTAATTATAAGACTTGAGAGATGTGTTAGCTAAGCTATATTGGTAATCATTTTGTAATACATAAATGTATCAAATCAACATGTGCATCTTAAACATATACAATGTTATGTACCTCAAAAAGCAGGGCAAAAGAAGGAAAGAAAGAAAATAATTGTTCACAACCACTAATGTCATCCTCTCCAGAAACAGAGTGGATGTGTTTGCTCTGAAGTACATGTAGTTTGAGTTTAACAAATACTGTAAATACAGATACTTCTGCATCAGTTGTATGTTTCTATATTTGCAACTGTCCTAAATGGAAGATATGGGCTTATGTTACAGATAGAACAAGAAGTCCCAAATTACTATTTACTATTTACTACACAAAGGACTCTTGTATCAGTTGATATAAAATTCAACTGTAAGTCACAGATGTTCCTAAATAATGCAGTTGCAGAAAAATAATATATAAAAACTTCTCTCTCATATACACTAAAAGACTAAAGGTAGCTTTTGAAAAAGTAATTTTTTGGTCACAAGAGACCTGGACTCCTCTATCTCATTGTTCCACATCCTTGACATCTGGCTTCTATTCACAGTTTAAAATGGCTGCTCAAGCTCCAGTCATTACGTCTACATTCTAGTCAACAGAAAAAAGGAGGGATGAAGGGCTTCAGCCGTCCAAGAATATTTCTCAGAAATTGCATACAATAATTTTCATTATGTCCCATTGTCAGAAATTGGTCATGCAGCCACATACAGCTGTCAGAAAGAGAAGAGATACAATGATAATTCTGGGTGTTTGTGTGACTAGGTAAAACTGATGGTTCTATTTATAAGGAAAACAAAGAGAATAGATTTTAGGGCCCAACCCAGAGTCTCTGTCCCAGCACTAAAGCCAAACATTGTTAGATGAAGAGATGAACATTTCACTCCAAATTCCTAATCCCTTTACGAGCCCCACATACTCTTTAATACTCTTTTATTTAATTGCAAAATTCTAACGCTGTCTAATAATTGTGAGTCAGATGTGGGCAATTACAGTGTCAGAGTGAGCTGCGTCAGCTGCCAGCTGCTCTGGCGGAGGTCAAGTCTCCAGGAGTTCGGCGGGAGCAGGAGCCCAAGAGCCCCTCGCGGGGGGACGGAGGTCGCGCCTGATGCTTCGGTGCATCTTCTCAGGGCCCAGCCCCGGGTCGGACGGAGAACCCACAGAGCAAGCTCTGAGGAGTTAAATCACTGATTGCATCCCAGAGACACCGCGCAGAAAGGGACCGTGGGCATTATCCAA